GTGGAGTGTTATTTTTTATGACTACTGTCGGTGACGACTGATCTTACGCATCAAGGTGGAGATGCATGGATCAATCGATACAGGATCGTAGAATATGTCGATGTGATCAAATTCATGAAGGACCTTTCTTATATCAAGGACCCCATGCGAAAGCCCTTGTATAAGGTTGGGTCTCTTTTCTCAGGCACCTATATAAAGGCCTTTGAATGTACTGAAAGTGCTTTATATAAAGACCTTTGTACACATTTGATAAATGTCCTTATTCAAAAGTACTTGTACAAAGCTCTTTGTATGAGGATAACTGTACCAAGGCCCTTGAGTAATGGTCCTGGTGTACAGTCCTCAATAAAGGTCCTGGTATTAAGGCCCTTGCATACAGGTCCTTATACTAAAACATAATTGTATAAATATCTTTGTGTAAATTACTTTCTGTTGAAGTCCTTAAGTGAATCCATTGTATTAATGCTGATGTTGCATATTTTAAGGTATCAGCGGTGCCGTTGAAGCCAGAGGAACATCTGTTTGAAGAAGAACAACTTTACAACAGACGCGCTTGAATCCAGGATCAATTGAGTGCAACACGCTATAGTTTACCCTCTGAGCCCTGGTGTCAAAATATATATTCTCTTTACTATTTACTATTTACTATTTACTATTAAGTTTTGTAACTTGTAAATAGACCAGGTTTTAAAATATTCTTAGGTTTTATAATTTCTTTTTTAAGTAGGTGTCCTCTGTTAGTAGAGGAATATCCCTCGGCTAAACAATCTCGACACATTAATAAACTTATTATTAGTTATTATTATAATTATTATTATTATTATTACTATTATTATTATTTGTTATGCACTTATTGGGAGAATTTTTCCCTTTCCCGTGACCTGTATTCTGGAATATTGCTTTCATATGTTGGGGCTTAACTCGACAGCAATAACTTCATTAAGCATAATACAATATCGAGGATACAATCAAGAAGTTAATTTAAGTTTTGAACAGGTAGTTTAATTAAGCATTATAGAAATCGTTTGTTTCAGTGAAACCAGAGACTAAATGAACTGTTAGGTTTTCAAGTTAGACTCCTGCCTTGGCGTGTGTTTATGTCTTTTCATGTCAGTAAGTGGTAAAACGGTTATTAAGGTAAGTGGTTACCCTGCTATCAAGGTAAGTGGTAATCCTGTG